TTTGAGCCATGACAGATGGCCACAGGTTTGAGGATTTTGTTTATTTCAGTATAAATCCAGATACTTGGACCATCTTGGTATTACTTCGTATTTTCAAAATTATGTTGTCCACATGGCATAGGCATTTTTTGGTGAGTTTATGCTGGTCTAGGGCTTTTCTAATTTGATTGTGGACCCCTTCATGTGTAGAGAATAGGACTGAAAGGAAAATTATTCCATAGGTAGAAATTGGGTATCTAAAGCCTCCATCATGCAGTGTTAAGTCTTCAGCTTGTTATATAGAATGATGCTAGCCGAGCTGGATCGTGTTGTTTGTTGTTTGTAAGGAGAGCAGTGTTCCTCTGTGTTATATTCTGATCCCTTGCAAAGTTAAGATAGAAGAAAAACTTTATTTGCCTTGATTCTTTTCTGCATTTTTACCCATAATCCCTGCAAAAGAACTCTAATGTTTTAGAGTTACTGTTAGGCATAATTCTCATTTTGCTTGATTCCATACAAAAATGTTTGACTTTCTTTTAGGTCTTCCAAGAAAGAGTCTATTTGTACAGGTGGAAGACTTCCCTTTTCTTCCTAAAATTGTTGTTTTTCTGATCCTCAAAATTGGAATTCAGTGTGGGAAATCACGCTTATTTTTTCTGGAGAAATGTTATTCCAAAACATTGAAATATATTTGTGAGAAATGTTCTTGGGCCCCTGGGTGGAGATGAGGGCAAAGGCTGAGATGAGACCGCATAAACAAACTCCCCAGGTGCTGATGTTCTGCAGGACTGTGGTTGCTGGTGGTATGGTTTCTGAACAGATCTCCTTGTTTGCAGGTATTAACTCGAGATTTTTACAATTTTTCCAAGAGCAGTATTAGTGAGGCCTATCACAAGGTCAGTTGCCCAGGTTGGCAAGTGACAGATACTTTCTGACCTTGAACAGGTGATAATTAGATCGCCATGTCCATACAGAATGATACAGACTCAGCAGTGCCTCTGATGGTTCCCAGAGTGAGTTGTAACCTGATTATCTGAGGAACCACATTTATATTTCCATGCATCTTGGGCTATGAGGCTTCCGGATGGAGGCCAGGATAGAGAACCAGAGTACATCCTGACAGGATGAGCGTTTTGCAGCTTCTTGGTGACCTTTTCTCTCCCTCCCACCTTCCCTTCCTCTTTAATTTGCCCTGAGTGTGATTTGTGTGCTTGCCTGTCAGCACTTCACTGGCCCACTATGGCCCCAGAGTTGAGGAGCACAAGTGACCTAGAGCGTAGCAGCACAGTGTTTTGTGGCAAAAAGGCTCCAATAGGCTCTGGTCTTTACCTCTTTTCCTTAAACTGTGACATGGCCACCTCTTGTATGAAGAAGACAAGCGAGACAAGTTGAAGGTATGAGCAAACATCATTTACTCATCCAGTGTTGACTGGGTACTGCTGTGTTGTACCATGATGTCTAGATTATATCTAACGTAGGTGCTGAGCTTTTGGGGAGAAGTCCTGCCTTGCAGTTATCTCTGAGTCCTCAGGGTCTGCATGGGACCCAACACAAAGCAATTGGTGGAATGTGTACAGGAAGGAACTTGAGGAGGGGAAACGCTGGTGCAAATACCAAGCCTCCTGGCCTCCTCCCCAGGCACTGGCTAAGAGCCCCAAGATGCAGCACCCATCGACCAGCTCCCACCCCCCACTCATGTGTCCTGGAGCCACGTGTCTGAGCTTCTGACAGCGACACTGTCCTGTCCCCCTAATATGTGCACATTAGTCAGCAGGCTTATGTGTGATGCCACAAGGGTAGCACCTAGGAACTGCCGCTCAGGGCCAGACTGCCCAGGTTAGAATCCTCCCTCTGTTGTGTGATGACCATGTGACTTGGGTGAGTTATTTCATCTCTGTACCTCAGTGTCCTCATCTGTCAGGTAGGGATAATAACAGTACCAATCCCATAGCATTGTTGTGAAGATCAAATGAGTCACTAAAGTGAAGCACAGCATGCTGGCTTTGGCGGGTAGACGTTAGCGTGGGATATAGATGTCTCATGCTAACGACAAAGCTTGTCGTTCAAGTATCTACAATATAAAAACGTAAGAAGAATGGGATAGCAGTAGAAAGGCTCATCTTGTATTCCCACACCCCATGGGTGTGTCTGGAGCACACACCATCTTGGATTCCACAGTCCTGAGGAAACCAAGCGAATTATTCCTCCCCCTTTTGCATACCCTGCTCTGCCCAGGCACACCTGATCCCTGGGATAATAGGGCTCAAGATCACTGCAGCCCTGTGGTTTGGCACCAGGTTATCTTGTCATTAGTTAGCTTCCTTCACTTAAACACTTGTATTCCACTCTTCTTTTTAATGTTAGAAAGAGGCTGGGATTCTTATGGTGGAATAGAGTTAGGTGCTGAATGAAGGCCATTGCGGGGGGGAGAGGAAGGGGGACAGGAGAACTGGGTGGAGGTCAGGAGCCTGAACTCTGCCCATCCCTGGGAGGCTCTCTCCAGCAGAGCCTTCCAGAAGGGCAGCCCCTTGCGAACTGCTTGGAAGACATGACTACCTTGGAAGACAGGTAGCTCCCTGGCAGTTGTCTGGCGTGTCCTTTCTGGCTTTGGGGCAGCCAGGGATCATAAGATACTGGAGTGAGGAGGATGCACCTCTAAAGCTGTGGGAATGAAGGAGGGATCTAGGTTACAGCTGTCTCCAGCCCTGACCCCAGATTCTGTTACTTCCTTTTTAATAAATCATCCTGTGGCTTTGAAGGGAACTTCTTCTGTGGTGCTTGCAGTAAGAATATAACTTGGAAAACACACCTTCTTGAAAATCAACCTGGCCATTGCTGTTGGGCATTCATCTGTAAGGCATTGTGTCATGCACATGTTATGTCTCGTTCAGTCCTCTCAGCGACCCAGTTAAAGAAGGGTCTGCTGTGGACAACATTTACGGGTAAGATTAAACAAGAGCAGGGCTCAAACCCAGGCCCTGACCACAAAGTCTGTGCTCTTCACAACCAGACCCCATGGTCTTCTACCAAGGCTGCCCACTTTGTGTTGCTATCGAGAAGAAAACATTCCTGAAAGAACTTGGTGAGCCCAATGCCGTAAGAATGAGGCGTCGTTGTAGTATCGTGTGGTCCCAGTCAACATTCACTCTGTGCCATTGGCTTTATGTACAACCTCTTTTTTCAGACTCACAACCATCTACAAGGTGGATAATTTTATAAATAATGAGGAAACTGGGACTCAGAAGGTTAGGTTCCTTGCAGGGTACACAGCACTTAGATGGGAGAATGGGACTCAGACCCCAATCTACTTGCCTCCAGAGCCCAGGCCTTAACCTCTCCCAGATGCTACCACCTCCCTGAAGCTCAGTGGACCCCACGGGCCTACTGGGAATAAGGAGACTGAGGTAAAAGAATTTTCCCTAAATCACAAAAGTAGCTGGTAATAGAGCTGGAACTAAAAGTCAGTTGACTTGGTTAATTGTAAGATATAAAACAAACATAATTCTGTGGTCTACTTAAATCATAGCTAGCAGTAGATGTGCCCATCCACATTGATACATTCAACCAGAGTTTGTGGACACTCTCCCACCCACCAGGCAGTGGGGGAGGTGCTGGCCGTGCAGAGGAAGCACACTAGCTGCAGCCTGGCCACGGCGGTCTCTGTCCTGATAGGTACACAGTGTCTGAGAGACGCAGATACAGCACACAGTGGTACCCTGGCTTGCTGTAGGAGCACGTGAGGAAGGGGTCCCCAAAGCTCTAGAAGGAAAGAGGGTTTTCTCTACAGAGTACAGGGTTGGAGGCAGAGAGATCACTGAACGTTTGAGGTATTCAGAGAAGGTCAGGGGGTTGGACTGGTTTGTCAGCGTAGGACCGGACCGGGACTGACAAGGCTTTGAGTGTGCATCAGACTTGCCTTCTAGAATGTGGACTTCAGGTACAGAACTGAAGATGGGCAGGAGAGCTAGCGGCCGAGAGGAGGTTGTTCAGTCAAGTAAGAGGTGATGGCGGCATGAGGTTAATTAGGGTCAGTGCTCCAGTTGGTCTTTCTAATGCTCCCAGCACAGGCCACAGTTCTGACAGCATCTCCCAACTTGAGTGTTGGCAAGTGGGCAATTTCCACTGGAGCCATGACTTTAAGTCTCTGGGATGAACTACAAATCCCACAGGTCACCAGGATGAATCCTTGCTCACTCCACTGTAGGACTTTCACGAAAGCAGTTTTTTGAAGCATTTTATTTTTGTATCGATGTAAAAAAATGATTGTTTCCCCTCGGAAGCTGCATCACTTCCCCATGACAGCATGTTGATGTGCCAGCAAGCATGCCAAGTTGTCCTGATGCCATGTGTATGCTTTTAAGTCCGCTCCACTCCACACTGGGCTGTATAGGGACTGAGGCATATTGGCGAGGGAAGTCCTCATTAGCTCTGTGCTTGCATACACATTTCCTTTTGCCCCTCCCTTCTTGACTGACAGAGATGCCCCACGAGATACCACACAGAAGTGGTAGGATCGGTACGTGTTCTCTGCTTGCACAAAGGGGAGGGTCCCATGCGAGGCCTCGTAGGTCACATACCTCCAAGCGAACCAGGCGTGTAACATCTCTAATCTCCCAGGGCACATCGCTGGCCACTGCGGTCTCAGGCATGCCCAAGACAGACACTCAGCAGAAAACCTCAGCATTTTAACTTAGAAGGAAATGGCATCTCCTCTCTCCACAGAAGCCCTAGGAAGATGGACTGGGTCTCAGGGGATCCCTCTCTGGGAATGACAGGGCTCCCATATTTGCATGGATGGATGAACTCTCTGTCCCTTTGAAAATCAGCAGAGGCAACGGCTCTGCAAAGTGTCACGTATCCTGCAAAAATGCATGTCTGGCGACCTGAGATTTGTTCCTGTTGTAAAAGCAACGCAACGTAGATTCCTTTTTCGCCTCCACCACCCTTCTGGGCACACCTTCTTACCACTAATGTTGGGCTTTTGTTTTCCTTCTTTCTTGTTTTTCTGCAAATATGTTTAGGGTGAAGAAGTTGAAGGAGACCTTTGCTTTTATCCAGCAATTGGACAAAAACATGAGCAACCTCCGTACCTGGCTGGCGCGGATCGAGTCGGAGCTCTCTAAGCCTGTGGTCTATGACGTCTGCAATGACCAAGAGATCCAGAAGAGACTGGCCGAGCAGCAGGTGGGCTTCAGATCAGAGCCCTTGTGGGGGTCTGAGCGTCCACAGCATGTGCTGGCTTAGACCATTCCTACAGCTGCTGGATGAGTCAGCGTGTTCATGGCTCATGACTTTAGTTTGCTTTTTCCGTGTTCTTAGATATGTGAGGGTCTGTCTCTTGATTCCCTGGGCAGTCTGGCCCTGAGCGGCAGTTCCTAGGTGCTACCCTTGTGGCATCACACATAAGCCTGCTGACTAATGTGCACATATTAGGGGGACAGGACAGTGTCGCTGTCAGAAGCTCAGACACGTGGCTCCAGGACACATGAGTGGGGGGTGGGAGCTGGTCGATGGGTGCTGCATCTTGGGGCTCTTTGTGAAATAGTTGAATCATGTTTAAAATGCAGACCTTGATCTTGGTGGTAAATAATGTTTTTTGTTTGGGGTTTTTTGAGTCGGGGTCTCACTCTGTTGCACCCAGGCTGGCATGCAGTGGCATGATCACATTTCACCACAGCCCCCACCGTGTGGGCTCAAGAGATCCTCTGGGACTATAGGCACACACCATCATGCTCAGCTAATTTTTGTTATTTGCTTTTGTTTTTTTGTAGAGATGAGGTCTTGCTATGTTGCCAGGCTAGTCTCAAACCCCTGGACTTAAGCAATCCTCCCACCCCGGCCTCCCGAAGTGAGCCACTGCATCCGGCCATAACACACTCATTTATGATCTAATTGTGCTGGACGTTAGAAATCTGACATTTCAGTGGGCTAAGATCAAGGTTCCTTTTTGGAAGCTCTAGGAGAGAATGCATTCTTCTGCCCTTTGCAGTTTGTATAGGCTGCCCACATGTCTAGGCTGACACACTGCTTACTCTGTCTTGAAGGCCACCAGGATTGCATCTCTCTGTGCCTTTCCTCCACAGCCACATCTCCCTCTGGCTGATGACTCTTCTGCTTTTAAAGGCTCTGGGATTACATTGGGCTCACCCAGATAATCCAGGATCATCTGCCTATTTTAAGATCAAATGATTAGCAACCTTAGTTCTCCTTTGCCATGTAATGTAACCTACTCACAGATTTTGGGATTAAGAGCTAGACATCTTGAGGGGGGAATGGTCATTATTCTGCCACCACAGATGTGCTAAGAAAAATTTTAGTATTTTTGTTTAAAAAAAAAAAAAGTTACCATGTATTTATATTATGCTAAACCCTGACTTTAAAAGTCTACCCAAGACACTGAAACAGAACTGTGTCACTGTGGGGTCATGATATAAATACTGATTTTCATCCATGATTCCTGGCTCCTAACTCCATAGCCCTTGTGACAGTCTTTTGTTATAATTTTGGGGTGCTTTAAGCCTCAAAGGCTTTAAAAAAAGGGAGGAAACAGTATCTCTCCCTCTGACCTTCGCTTACCTTTCTCTCACCTGCCCTAGGCAGGACCCTAATCTGATTGCAGGTCAGACTCTGATTCCAGAGTCTTGCCTCATACCTGAGAGGAAGGAATGCTGCACAGAGAGGCCAAGAAAGGTCTGAACAGACAGGCCTTGCTGGGTTTAAATCATGAGCTTTTTGGCCCGTCACATCTCTACACAGTTGTTAGTCATGCCTATGTCATGAAGCTGCCATGAAAACCCAAGAGGACTGGGTTCAGGGATCTTCTAGATGCTGAACACTTGGAGGTTCCTGGAGGGTGTGACTCCCATGGAGGGCGTCGAAGCATCAAGCCTCTTCTCCCCCACCTTGCCCTACGCATCTCTTCCTCTGTATCCTCTGTAACGTCCTTTATAATAAACCAGCCAATGTGTTTCCGTGAGATCTGCGAGCCACTCCCACAAATTAAACCCAAAGAAGGGGTCTTGGGAGCCCAAACTTGAAAGCGGTCAGAAGGTTCAGAGGCCCAGACTTGTGACTGGTGTGGAGGGAGAGACAGCCCTTAGCCTGTTGGATCTGACACTAGAGAGGGAATTGAATTGGATTGGAGGACACCCAGCTGGTGTCCTCTGCTTGGTGGTGGGAGCCTTCCCCCACACTGGGTCCAGAAGTCTTCTGTGTTGACGATTGTTGTGGTGTGAGAGCAGAGGGAAGCAGTTTTAGGGAGTCTTTCCCTAAAGCAGCCACACAAAAGAATTATGTGAGGACATTTTTAAAAACCTTACTTATGTTTCCTTCCCTAATTAAATATAATAAGTTGCTCAATTGCTTCCAAAAATAAGACCTAATACATGAGATTATGTAGTATTGCCTTCTGCAAAAAACCCTCAGCCCCCAAAAGTGGGTAAGAGCCATGATGTCCCTGGATCCTCACTGTCATGTGCTTAGGGGAGGAGTTGAACCCTATAGGAGTTCTTTCTAGTTTGCCTTTCTTATGTAGAGCTCCTTTAGGTAGAAAGTCACGAAGGTGACATTGTTATTCCTATAGAAGATCATTTTCAAAATGTAGAGAAAGCGGTGGCAATCTTGTGGCACTTTTAAATCATGAACCACGTCCATTAAGTCTTGGGCATCTCTCTCCTGGTTGGTTGGTTTGATGGTTTCTTGTCTCTCTGGGGTGCCACATGGTGGCTTGGGGGAATTGCTAGCTGCCTCCCCATTCTGTAAGTACCAGCAGCCCTCTCCCTGTTCAGCTTCACCCCAAGCCCGGAACCACCCCGTCCCATTTACTTGCCACCCAAGCCCCTCCCACGGAGACTTTCTGGAGCCACCTTGGAGGCTTCACCCTATGTGATTTTCCATCCTGCCAGCCTGTTTTTCCTGTTGTCCCCCCATGTCGTATGTTTCGGGGTCTTTTTTATCTTCATGCTTCCTGGTTTTGTCCACTTCTCCAGTTTCATGCCTCTTTGTCCTCTTGCTCTGCACACCCAGCTTCAGTGCTCTGTGTTACCCCACTAGGGACAGAAAAGTGAAATGAACAGAAACCTGTTTCCAGCACCGTTGACAAAAGTTTTTCACATTATTTTATGTTGTTTCTCAAATCCACTTCTCTGGTATGGACAGTTTCTGAAATCAAATTATTATACAGACTCATGCCTCGCTGGGTACTAGTGATAGGATTATCCTGGTTTGCGGAAAGTTCGTCTAGCCCTTAAATGATGTGCATTTTGAAATATGGTCCACCACTTATTTTATATTGTTCAAGGTAACTAATTCATGCTATGACATCAGTAGGCCACTGTGTCGTGTTTTAGGCTTTTAAATTTTTTTGAAAATGTTGGGGTTTCTTCTTTGTAACAAGATGTTAATGATCTTTTCTAAATTATCATAGGGCTCCCAGCCATCGCAGCCTCGACCTGCTGGGCTCCGGCAATCCTTCTGCCTCAGTCTTCCAAGTAGCTGGAACTACAGGCACGCGCTACCACGGCTGGCTAATTTTTTTTTTATTTATTGTAGCGACGAGGTCTCGACAAGTTGCCCGGATGGGTCTCGAACCCACGTGCTCAGGCAGTTCACTCATCTCGGCCTCCCAAAGTGCTGGGATTACAACTGAGCCACTGAACCCAGCCAGAGTTCATTTCTTACTATCATTTACTGTATATTTTGCTACAGTCTGACCAGGTTCTTAAGCCCACTACCCAGATCATCTGAGATTGACATAGCTGTTACAGTAAAGAAAGAGTTTAATATCGCAAAGCAGCTGAGTGAGGAGGATGGGAGATGTTTCTTAAATCTGCCTCGAGACTCTTAGGCTTGAGTTTTCTAAGGAATAATTTGTTGGCGGGGGCTAGGGAACTGGCACTGCTAATTGGCTGAGGATAAAGCCAGTTTCTGGGAGGAGAGGTCACAGGACTAGTGGAGTCAGCTCCTTGGTCTGTGTCCTAGGTCCAGGCAGAGCCTCCAGTCCATCAGAGTGCCAAGTCGGAAAAACATCCCCAGCACCATTCTTAGGTTTTATCACAGAGAGGCTATCTGTAAAGCAAGGCCTGCAATATTGGCTCCTGAGCCCTGGGCGGCAAGCCATTCTAGAGGTGGTTTAGGAGGAAGGTATGCGGGAGGTAGGGCCACTGGAGATTAGAGCCGCTCATGCCCGTTGGCCCATCAGACTTTAGGATGCCATCAAGGAGATCTGTCTGATGTTGTGTAAGGGAAAATATGTTGGTCAGCCTCCTGGGCAGCTTCCTCCTTCCCCAGGGGTCAGGACATGCAGATAATCCATTGCTCTCCAGTGAAGTGAAAACCACTTAGAAACAACAGATTTGTTCATTGCTAATGATAGCTGGACCTTTGCAGAGCTCGGGTCTCTTCTATTGTTTTTACCCTGTGGCCCTGTATTAATTTTATATAGGCAGTTTTTATATTAACCAGTTTTCTTTGGTCATTTTATGCAATATAAACTGAGTAAGTAATGTAGGATAACTGCAAAGAGTCTATTAAAATATAGGGCATTCATATTATCCTTAGACTAAACTCTCTCTGTGCTATTCAACGAGGCCCTACCCAACTCGAGCCAGATGAGGTCATGTACGTTCCTCAATTGAAATTGTCAGTATTACTCATTTAGCACCAGTACTAAGGTTCCTAATTTTATTTTAATAGTTAAATGAGATATATGTCAATATCAGTAAATTTTAGAAAAACTGTGTAATTCTACAAATCAGTAAGAGTTCTTAAAACTCTTGTCCTTATGTTGACCCCAACAAGACGCCCACCATCCTAGCATTATAGGCATCCTTCCTGCTACAGAACTTAAAAAAAAATCACTCTGGGCCCACTTTGGTGGCTCATGCCTGTAATCCCTGCACTTTGGGAGGCCAAGGCAGGAAGATCATTTGAGCCCCAAAGTGTGAGACCAGCAACATAGCAAGACCCTATCTTTAAAAAAAAAAGTGGCTGGGTTCGGCGGCTCAGCCTGTAATGCCAGCACTTTGGGAGGCCGAAATGAGAGGATTGCCTGAGCTCAGGGGTTCGAGACCAGCCCGGACAACTTGGTGGGACCTCATCTCTACAATAAATCAAAAATTAGCCGGGCGTAGTAGCATGTGCCTATAGTTCTGGCTACTTGGAAGTCTGAGATGGAAGGATCACCAGAGCCCAGTATGTCAACACTGGGGTGGCTGTGAGTGTGCCACTGTACTCCAGCCTGGTCGACAGAGTGAGACTCCAACTAAAAAAAAAAAAAAGTTTTATAAATTAACTGGGTATAGTGGCACATGCCTGTAGTCCCAGCTATCAGGAGGCTGAGGCAGGGGAATGGCTTGAGCCCACAGGGTTGAAACTGAAGTAAGCTATGATGGTACCACTGCACTCTAGCCTGGGCAACAGAGTGAAACTCTATCTCAAAAAAAAAAAAAAATTCCAGGGCACACAATGTGACCAAGCAGAAAGCACATCTCTTCTGAATATAATCTTGTGATACTAGTCTTTATGCAGGATCTGTGTTAAGAACTGTCCAATTTAAAATTCTGTTGACCCGTTAGCATTTTATTTTCCCGTATCAACGTGAACACAAAATGGTCTGAATTGTGCATTTATATGAAGAAAAGTAAAAAAAAAAATAGTAGTCCCACCTAGTAGTATAATATTTATCCCCAATGATTTATATATCCACGTGACCTGGAATGAAATTTATACTGCCTTTCTATAGACGGTGGCAGGCAGCATTTATAAGATAACCCTTTTATAAACTGAACTTTGTTGAGTCAGGGAACTGTATTTAGTATAGATAACAGTGGCTTATTTTAAGTGTCATAAATTTCAGAAACTGGTGTATTATCAAAGAATTAATAAGATTTAACTTTATCTTTGCTGTTTCACAATGTTACTTGGATTCTTAAATTAATGGTGTGGTTTCACACCGCTTATCACAGAAGTTGGACATCAGGGGTGTAACTGTTCCAGAATGGCAAAAGAGACAAGGTCCCATCTCTCTCCCTCCCCAACTCAGCCTTGGTGTGCAGAAGAAACAATCTCTGGTGATAACTGAGAACACCATGTTTTTTCTTAAAGAGGGTTTCTATTTTTTCCCTATGGCCATGCATTTTCTCTTCCTAAATGTTATTTTTCCCACATGGGGAATTGCACCACCATCACCATCACGGGACGAAGCTCGAGCCCTTGTCCCTCCCCAGGTTCCAGCCGTGGCTAGACTCCGTCATTTGGGGAGGCGAGGTCTCTACCTCAGAATCCTTCCCTTGGACCTGTGAAGCTCTCGGATGGGTTGTGGAGATGTTGTGGACACCCAGGTGTCTGCACGCACGCTTTGGTGGGTGTGAAAAGGCAGCTCAAGGACTTAGTCGATTCCAGAGTTCTGTGACCCATGAAAGGCTGAGAGTTTCTGCTGCTTAATTTTTAGTTCCTGCCCAAGAGACTCCGTTTCTAAAGGAGTCCTCCCTGAAATCGCATCTACATTGGAGGCCTTCAGGGGAGGGGGTTGGGAGTAAATCCCATGCAGACCCAATGTCTGTGGGGTGGTGGGCTCTCAACGCGTCTGCAGTGCCACCTATCAGCATGTAGAGGACACCCACAATGGTTCAGCCCTCACGTGGTTCAGCCCTCACGTGGTTCAGCAGGTGAATCCCAGACGTCGCCGATGGTAGGTTTTGGATCAGGTGCTAGGCGCTCAAGGGTTGCACATGGTTGAGGGAGAGTCATTTTGTGTTGCTGACCCCAAGGGAAAAGGTGCTCAAAGCTGCCCTCCCTGGGCTGGAAGAGGGAGTGAACAGGGAGCAGAGATCTTCCGTGCTGACCTGCCCACATCCAGCATCTCAAGGGCTGTCTCACTCTTCTGTAATCGTAGGATCTGCAGCGAGATATTGAGCAGCACAGTGCAGGGGTGGAGTCTGTGTTTAACATCTGCGACGTCCTGTTGCACGACTCGGATGCCTGTGCCAATGAGACCGAGTGCGACTCCATCCAGCAGACCACCAGAAGCCTGGACCGGCGCTGGAGGAACATTTGCGCCATGTCGATGGAGCGGCGTATGAAGTAAGGATTGAGCTGCCACGAGCATCTTCTGCGTGGTCAGCCCAGCTCGGGGTGTCCTTCTGACCTCAGTCACAGCAGCTGCTCTGTTCACCTCACTCAGAAACATGCCAGGTGTTGGCAGAGAGGGTCCAGTAGGTGTGGCAAGGGCTTATCAAAGGAATTATTCAAGGAAAACATGATGGGGTAATGCCTTTCCCTGCTCTCAGGTGTCTCCGGGGTTAGCAGTGGCTGGCTAATGCAGGATCTCTGTAAGGAACTGCTCGATTTTAAATCCAGTTGGCATGCTAGCATTTGCTTTGCATCTGTTTACCCAGCTCTGAGTAGGGGAGGCAGCCCTGTCTCCTGGTTTTTCTGAGACTGGGTTTCACTCTTTCATCCAGGCTGGAGTGCAGTAGCACAATCACAGCTCACTGTAGCCTTGAACTCCTGGGCCCAACCAATCCTCCTGCCTCACTCTCCCAAGGAGCTGGGATGACCAGCATGAATCACCATACCCGGCTAATTGTCCTTTTTTTTTTTGAGTTGGAGTCTCACTCTGTCACCCAGGCTAGAATGCAGTGACACGCTCACGGCCACCCCAGCGTCAGCCTGCTGGGCTCCAGTGATCCTTCCTCAGCCTTCCAAGTAGCTGGAACTACAGGCATGTGCTACCACACCTGGTTAATTTTTGATTTATTGTAGAGACAAGGTCTTGCCAAGTTGCCCAGGCTGGTCTTGAACCCACAGGCTCAGGCAATCCACTTGCTTCAGTCTCCCAAAGTGCTGGAATTACAGGCTCAGCCACTGAACCTGGCCTAATTGTTCATTGTTTGTGTGTGTGTGTGTGTGTGTATGTCTCAGAGTCTCACCCTGTCACTCAGGCTGGAGTGCAGTGACACAATGACTCACTGCAGCCTCGAACACCTGGGTTCAAACAATCCTCCCACCTCAGCCTCCCAAGTAGCTAGGACTACAGGGCAATGCTACCATGCCCGGCTAACTTTTTAAAAATTTTTTGTAGAGATGAGGTCTCACTACGCTGCCCAGGCAAGTCTCAAACTCCTGTCCTCAAGTGATCCCTCCTGCTTTGGCCTCCCAAAGTGCTGGGATTATAGGCATGAGCTAACATACCCAACGTCTGTCTCCTGTTTTTTAGCCCTGTGAAGCAAGTGCTCTGAGGGGCCCGGCCCTCCCTAAACGAAAGGTGTAAAGACCAGAAGCAATGTTCTGGTTATTTCCCGGAAGAGGTCACAGGGTCTTTCCCCCTAGACCATGCGAGTGTTAGGGGGTGGTGAGGAGCAAGACTGGTCAGGGGGCTAAAAGAAGTGGGAGAGCTCAGGGTTGGAGTGGACGGCATGTGTGAAGCTGCCTTCCTTCCGGTAGAATCGAGGAGACGTGGCGCCTGTGGCAGAAGTTTCTAGATGATTATTCCCGCTTTGAGGACTGGCTGAAGTCAGCCGAGAGGACGGCGGCCTGCCCCAATTCCTCAGAGGTGTTGTACACAAATGCCAAAGAGGAGCTGAAGAGGTTTGAGGTAAGCCCCTTCTCTGGCCCAGTTCTGATGTCAGCAGGCCTGAGGCGGGCTCAGGGGCTATGAAAATGACTTCCTCCCAACCGGCTTCCCTCAGTCCTCATGGCCACAGCCTGCATGCACCCAGCTGCTGAGACTGCTTTACTAGACACTGCCGATGTATGCCAACTGCTGTGCAGTGACCTTGGCAGCCTGCTCTGTAGCTGTCTCGGGACCCGCAAGCAGGCCATCTGTTGCCATTGCAGTTTGGGGCCGTGAAGGGAGGGAAGTTGGTAGCCGGACACTTGGGGCACGGAGGGAGGTTTGTAGTGGGTCCCTTGGGCTGTGGAGGGGCTTTGTAGATCGCTTGGGCTGCGGAGGGGGTTTGTAGTGGGTCGCTTGGAACATAGGGGGGTTTGTAGTGGGTTGTTTGGAGCATTGAGAGGGGTTTGTAGGAGGCCACTTGGGCGTAGAAGGGGATTTGTAGCAGGTTTCTCAAGGTATAGAGGGGTGCTTATGGTGCGTCTGTTGGGGCATGGAAGGGTATCCTGTGCTTTGCCCCGGCTCTGACCGCCCCCCTTCACCATGGGCAGGCCTTCCAGCGGCAGATCCACGAGCGCCTTACCCAGCTGGAGCTCATCAACAAGCAGTACCGGCGCCTGGCACGGGAGAACCGCACGGACACGGCCAGCAGGCTCAAACAGATGGTGCATGAGGGCAACCAGCGCTGGGACAACCTGCAGCGGCGGGTCACGGCTGTGCTGCGCAGGCTGCGGGTAAGCACCACACCCGGGCTGTTTGGAGGTCTGCAGGGAGCTTGTGGCACAGGGCACGGGCGGAGGTTTTGTGGCCAGCCGCGGACCCACTTCATGTTCCCCCGTCCAGAGCCCAGCCAGCCAATGCGTTCTCCACATGAGATCAGTCACATTCAGGGTGGTGTGGCCCTAGACAAGGGCACTCTCTAAAACAGGGATCTGCATATGAGGCTCTGAGCCTGACTGTGTGATTTGTATAACCAGAGTACATCTCCGCTCACACTTCTGTAACCCCTGGTGGTATGCACTCGGCACGCAGAGGGCACGGAGTCTGAGTGTGGTTTACTAGGCCTGATGAAGGCAGCACGTAGGCTTCCAGAAGCAGCCCTGCCCTGCCAGCTGTCTGTCTGATGTGCCCCATCTGTTCTTGTTTTGTTTTGTTTTTTGAGTCGGGGTCTCTGTCACTTAGGTTGTTGTGCAGAGGCATGATCACGACTCACCCCAGCCTTAATCTCCTGGTTTCAAGTGATCCTTCTGCCTCAGCCTCCCAAGTAACTAAGCCTACAGTTGCGTGCCCCCACACCCAGCTAATTTTTTAAAAATTTTTGTAGAGATGAGATCTTGCTATGTTTCCCAGGCTGCTCTCAAACACCTGGGCTCAAGCGATCCTCCCGCCTCGGCCTCCCAAAGTGCTGGGATTGCAGGCGTGAGTCACCATGCCCAGCCTGGGTTTAGTTTGTGAATATAAATAATCACCTTAGATTTCTGTAATTCAGAAGACATGCTCTGCAAACCTGTGTATGTCCAGATATAAACAGAAAGGACCAGCATAGGCAGGGACTGCAGGACATACTTTAATTCTCAGGGCAGAATGCCCTTGAAACCATTCTAGGAAGAAGAGAATCTGGGCTTTTTTTTTTTTTTTAACCCTTTTAGGGAGACATTGGCTAACTCTTCTAGTAATCTAGACAACTCCCTTGCATTAATTTTTTTTTAATCTCCTGCTGATCTGACTGCAGTGAGTCTACCTTCATTTGGCACCAAATGCTACACTGATCTGAGAATCAGCTACCCAGCTATGAGGCGCTAACCTGAGAGGTACCCTTAGTTAGAGGCGATTAATCGCCTTCCCTGGGTCTTCCTTCTCTGGGGAAACATCAGAAGGACATGGGTGGAGGCAGAGGGGCACTAGGCCACCTCACCCCTGAACTCCATGCTTTTCCATCTTGAAGCTACTAAACCGTTCTATCAAGAGCTTCTGCAGAAGGCTGACAGGTAAAAACAGGCAGAACCTGGCCGGGCCCCTCAGGGGGTTCCCCAGAGGACAGAGGAGAATCACTAACTTAGAGAATGACAGGATTTCAAATGCTTGACATGACCTCAGAGGCCACAGTCGGCATCCTCACTACCTCCCTCACTTGCGGGTGTAGAAGCTGGGGCTCAGAGAAGTTGTGGTGTTTGTTGGTGTCACACAGCCAGGACTGAGCCCCAGCCTCCTGAATGCAGTGCTTCTGGGGGTCCTGGATGTCCCAGGGCACGTTTCTCTCCGAGTGCTCTCTGGGCACCCTTTCCTCGTGGCTGAAGGTGACCTTGCTGTCTACCTGACTCTTGCTCCTCAGAACAGACATGAGGTTGTCTTTCTCTTGGGCAGCATTTCACCAACCAGAGGGAGGAGTTCGAGGGCACCAGGGAGAGCATCCTAGTGTGGCTCACGGAGATGGATCTGCAGCTGACCAACGTGGAGCACTTCTCGGAGAGCGATGCAGATGACAAGATGCGCCAGCTGAACGTAAGGGCTGTCACCTTGGCACCTCTTAAAAGAACCAAGCTGGGTGCTATGGCTTATGCCTGTAGTCCTAGCAGACTCAGGAGGCCAGGGCAGGAGGATCGCTTGAGGCCTGGAGTTCGAGCCCAGCCTGGATAACATAGTGAAACCCTGTCTCTTTAAAAAAGAAAGGGGAGCCAGTCTCGGTGGCTCAGCCTGTAATCCCGCGCCTTTGGGAGGCTGAGGTGAGTGGATTGCCTGAGCCCGCGGGTTCGAGACCCGCCTGGACAGCGAGACCTCATCTCTACAATAAATCAAAAAATCAGCCGGGCGTGGTAGCGCATGCCTGTAATTCCGGCTACTTGGAAGGCTGAGGTGGAAGGATCGCCGGAGCCCAGCAGGTCGAGGCTGCGGTGGCCGGGAGCGGCCACTGCACTCCAGTCTGGGCGAGAGTGAGACTCCAACTCAAAAAATAAAAATAAAAAAGAAAGGGGAAATAAAGCACCTTTGCATAGCAGCCTGGCCAAGTACAAATTTCACCTGACACTCTGAGAGCAAATTCCAGAATTCTTCAGGCAGTCAGGCTGCCTCCTCCCTTGCGCACTGGATTCTCACCAGTCCAGATGCTGTCTCTTACAGTGTCCCTTCTGTATCAGCAGAGGGACCTAGATCAGAGATGATCTGCTCTTTAATTGTTGCAGATACCTGAGTTGCAGTTTAATCTCATTCTAATTCTCCCCTTGGTGAAATTTTAGAAGAGACTGAGAAATGGAAGTTGGCCTTCCCTTATGTAATGGCGCCAGTGAGCGTCACTGCATCAATGCAAGCAGATGCCCACTGGTGGCTTATGATTGGATTTGTTCCTACCAAGCGTTGATATGACAAGTTCTCTCCCTCACACCCACTATTGGCAAAGGTCCATCCATGTCAAATTTTTAGAATTTTATTTTATTTATGTATTTATGTATGTATGTATTCTGAGTTGGAGTGTATTTTGAGTTGGAGTGCAGTGGCATGCTCTCGGCCACCACAGCCTTGGTCTGCTGGGCTCAGGTGATCCTTCCACCTCAGCCTTTCAAGTAGCTGGAACCACAGGCGTGTGCCACCACACCCTGCTAATTTTTTGATTTATTGTAGAGACAACATCTCGCCAAGTTGCCCCGGCTGATCTCGAACCCCTGGGCTCAGGCAGTCCTCTCACTTCTACCTCCCAAAGTGCTGGGATGACAGGCATGAGCCTCTATGTCTGGCTTTTTGCTGATCTTAATCAGAAAAGTCAGAGCCCAAAAGGAGGAAGGAGAAAGTATATACAATCATTTCAGATTCCTAAATTGTCCTTGTCACCTAAACATTGACGCGCGTGTCCTAGGTGAAGGAACACAGCACTAATGGCACCTGGATGATTTTCCCACGTCCAGATGCTCTGGGGTTCTGTCTCTGAAGCCCCTTCCTTCTCGTCCCCAAATAGGGCTTCCAGCAGGAAATTACGCTGAATACCAACAAGATCGATCAGCTCATCGTGTTCGGGGAGCAGCTGATCCAGAAGAGCGAGCCCCTGGACGCCGTGCTGATCGAGGACGAGCTGGAGGAGCTGCACCGCTACTGCCAGGAGGTGTTCGGGAGGGTGGCCCGCTTTCACCGGCGCCTGACCTCCCGCGCTCCGGTGAGGGCCCCGGCTGCTCGGGGGTTATCATTTGACCGGGTTCTTACAGGCTTGGGACACTTATCTTGTAATGGTTAACTCTAGTTTCTTTTTTGGTAGAAAAGCCACATCGGGTCAAGTGCAGTGACTCATGCCAGTCATCCCAGCACTTTGGGAGGCCAAGGCGGGAGGATTGAGGCCAGGAGTTCAAGACCAGCCTGGGCAACATAGCAAGACCTCATCTCTACAAAAAAAAAAAAAAAATTAGCTGAGCCTGGTGGTGCGGGCCTGTAGTCCCAGCTACTCAGGAGGCCAAGGCAGAAGGATCACCTGAGCCCAGGAGGTTGAGGCTTCAGTGAGCTGTGATCGCACCACTGTACCCCAGCATGGGCAACAGAGCAAGACCTGGTCTCTAAAAACAAAGAAACAACTTTGATATTTCCCTTGACAAAAGAACCTTTTAGGAAGTTCAGGTGGACTAAAGGCCATTATTCAAAGTTTGCTGCCTTTGTGTGTCGAAAGCTTTAATGATGACTCCTGACCAACATGATTGTCCACTTTTTCTTTATTTGTGTCTCCAACTGACTGACTTCAAATGTAGTTATTTCATCAGGCATAACCTCAAAAATTACCCTACGCAATTTCTTTTCTTTTCTTTTTTTTAATTTTTGAGTCAGGGTCTCACTCTGTTGCCCAGACCGGCATGTAGTGGCATGATCACGGCTCACCCCAGCCTCACTTTCTGGGCTCAGGCAATCCTTCCATCTCAGCCTCCCAAGCAGCTGGTACTACAGGTGTGCACCACCACACCCAGCTAACTTTTTTACCTTTTTTGTAGAGACAAAGTCTCGTGATGTTGTTCAGGCTGGTCTCAAACTAATGGACTCAAGCAATCCTCCCGGCTTGATCTCCCAAAGTGTTGGGATTACAGGCGTGAGCCAATTTTTAAATACAGACATTTTTGTTAGACTGATAAAGGCATTATGACACAAGCAGAATGCAGACACTGAGCAATTAGATGGGGGGAATAAGAAAGAACCTGGTGCGTGTGTCCCTTGAGTAGTGGACCTTGTCCAGAATATGCTAATATCCTTTTTAAAAATACTCTGATTCTTGGAGGAGTCTGCAATCAGCCATCAAGGAAATGTCAGCCACCATTTCTTTATCCCCTAGATAAAGTCATTTTACTTAGATTTTTCATACTTCAGCTTTTCTCCTAGGAAAGCAAGCTGCAGTTTTTGTAAAATAGCAGATTCTAGGCCCTACTCCAGATTCTCTAACTGGAATAACCAGAAATGAGACCCAGGAACCTTATTCTCTTTAAAGCTGCCTGAAAAGTACTGTTGGCGGTCTCTGGGAACCTGCCGGACGGGCCGGCTGAAACACTGCTTCTCACCGCAGTAGCCTAGGATTTGTTTAATCCTAAAAACTGGATACTCTGGTTTAGGGCTTGGAAGATGAAAAGGAGGCCTCTGAGAATGAAACGGACATGGAAGACCCCAGAGAGATACAGACAGACTCCTGGCGGAAAAGGAGAGAGGGCGAGGAGCCCACGTCCCCCCAGTCGCTTTGTCATCTGGTACCCCCCGCCCTGGGGCATGAGCGGTCTGGTTGTGAGACCCCGGTCAGTGTGGACTCCATCCCCCTGGAGTGGGATCACACGGGTGACGTGGGAGGCTCCTCCTCTCACGAAGATGACGAGGAGGTCCCATTCTACAGTGCCCTGTCAGGTAACAGCCTGGGTTCCCCCGAGCCCTTGAAACTCACCTGTCTGGCGATTATGTTTTTAGCCACTTAAGCGACACGGCCAGCGCTCAATGATTGAGTCCAGTGTACAGCTGCCCCGGACCTCTGAGTCTTCCTGTGTCCTTGTCCTGTCCACCTCTTACCTAAAAATTGGCCCACTCCCATTATAGGTGGCATGAAAACAGAAACGAAATTCACATTTGGCTGTTAAGGCTCTTCACTGATGGCTCTGGCCGTCTGGGAGACTCATAAGTGAAGTTTTCAGAGAATCATTAGATCGAGCCAGTAGGGCTTCTTCATGCTTTCTGTGCCTCCCCCCACCACTGCTTTGGACAATCAGGGGTTGGCTGGAATCAAATCCTTCTGGTTTTTAAAATCCTTTTAATGGGCTGGGTACAGTGGGTCAAGCCGGTAATCCCAGCATTTGGGGAGGCCAATGCGGGAGGATGGCTTGAGACCAGGAGTTCAAGGCCAACCAGGTGTGGTGGCGCCTGCCTGTAGTCCCAGCTACTCGAGAGGCTGTGATGGAAGAATCAACTGAGCCCTGGAGGTCGAGACTGCAGCGAGCTGTGATCGTGCCACTGCACTCCAGCCTGGGCGACAGAGTGAGATCCCAACTCAGCCAGTCGATCCAATAATAAAATAAAATCCTCTTAATAAAAAAGATAAGAGGCAGTTAGCTTCCCCCCTCCGGCCAACATTGTTTCTACTATGTTAACTTAATACTTGGGCATTAATCTGCAGGCACATCCAGTGAGGAAAATGCCGTTATTCTTTTTCAGATGTAGAAATCCCTGAAAATCCTGAGGCATATCTTAAAATGACCACAAAAACTTTGAAAGCGTCTTCTGGTAGGCCCCTGCCCGTGCATGTGTCTCAACATGGCAGCATCCTGTGGCACACACCGCATCCTCAGCCTCGCTCCCATGTCGTGTCTGGCCTCTGCCTTCTGTGGACACCATGCACCCCAGTCCGTGTGTCATGGTGTATTTACATGCGTCCTCACTCACACCTGTGTGCTCCTTACAAAACCCCACCCGAACCGGGGCGGTCTCGATGCCATTTCCTGCAGCCCCAGGCTTGTGCAGAAGGGGGTTTTTCATGGTGCCTTTCAGGATCACTGTTTTTCCTCCATCTAACCAAAGTCCTCTGGCGCGGGCCAAGCTTTCTTCACTGTGGCTTGGCTTGGAGCTAGCTCCTTGCTTGCATTGCTCTCCCGGGAAGAGGCAGGTGTGGGCAGAGGTGCTTTTGCATTTGCGGCAGAAGAGCCCGCCCTTCTCTTGACTTGCAGCTCTCATCTGTCTCCTCTGCCCCGTCCCCACCTGCCACGTGGGTGGGGAACAGCCACACACAGTCCCTTCGTTCCCAAGTCTGTCTTGACGGTCCCTCTTCCCCTCACTCCTGTGAGGCCTTTCATCTTCTTGGCCCCAGATCCAGCCTGGCCGTCCAGTGTCCCCACCACTCAAGGCCCCGGCTCCCACATGCCGCCCGTCACACAGCAAATCATGTTGGTTGTGCTCCATTGTGAACTCATCTAGCAAAGGCACAGTGTTGCCCCGTTGCATGACTCCCATCTCATTCCCTCCTGGGACATCCTGACATTTTGCAAACATGCATGCTTTGCAATGAGAGCTGCAGAACTCATCTCCATACTGTAACCCGATGCCATGTTACCCGTGACCTTTTTGGGTTGGAGAGAATGGACTGTCACTCACTATCTTTTATTTCAGGCAAATCCATTTCCGATGGCCACTCTTGGCACGTTCCAGACAGCTCCCCCTGTCCCGAGCATCACTACAAACAAATGGAAGGTGACAGGAACATTCCACCAGTTCCATCTGATTCCAGCACCCCATATAAGCCACCCTATGTAAGTCTTGACTCCACTGGGAGTACCCAAGTGAGCAAAGCTAACGGTTCTCAAAGAGAGAGATTTTGACACGTGTTCACCCCAGGCACGTTCACCCCCAGGCACATTCTGAGTGGGCTTTCCCAGGGTGACAGTATCTCTGCTAAGCCATCCACACCCAATCAGAACCCTGGCAAAACTGGCAATATGTAGAGAGAGGTTTCTGGCCAAAACCATCTTTGTGTGTACTGGCATGATGTCACGGTCAGTGGTGCTGCCGAGTCAGTTGTCTGTGCAGATAGTGACAATGCTGAGTGCTGGCTTTCCTGAGCTGCTCCTGCGCCCCCAAGCCTTTGTTATGTTTGCCTTTTGACCACACATCCTGTTCACCACAGCATACCTTCATCTTCAGATTTGATGGTGGGTCTGCGGGCCAATGGAGATGGGCTTGGCTCCTAGCCCTGCCAGGAAATTGCAGTAGCGCCTTAAGCACTTTGCCTTTCCCACTTGAGATGAACCTACCTTACCTAGCTGTCTTTAGGATTCCTGGGTATAAAGGTAGAAGAATGATCGGGCGCAGTGGCTTATGCCTGCGTTGCTAGCACTTTGGGAGGCCAAGGCAGGAGGCTCGCTGGGGGCCAGAGATCTGAGACCAGACTGGGCAACAAAAGCCAGACCCCGTCTCTATATAAAACAGAAAAATTAGTCAGCCTTGGTGCACACCTGTAGTCCCAGCTACTCAGGAAGCTGAGGTGGAAGATTGCTTAAGTCCAGGAGTCTGTGAGCTATGATCATACCACTGCACTCTAGCCTTGGCAATAGAGAGAGACCCTGACTCTTAAGGGAAAAAATGTAAAAGAAGGGTCTCAGAAGCGATGGTGATCATCATTATTACTCACGTTGGTTCGTTATTCTCTATAGCAGCGACAATTCCTTATACTTCTGTGGGCGACATGAGTTCTTAACCTGCTCTGTCTAGGTGGCTATTGGGGGCAGCCTCGGGGTGTTCATGATGGCCACAGAGCATTCTCAGAAAAGAGAATTAGCGACAAGGGAGAAGAGGCTATTGCTACATAATTGGAGAAGGTTCCCATGGTCAAATCCGGGTCATGTGATAACGGGCTGCCTGTGCCCAATTCTCAAACTCCTCCTCTTGCTTAGCAAGCAGTTGTCATTTTTAGACTGTCCCTCTGTGATTCAGAGTGGTAAGACAGAGAAAGACCACAGCACCTGGCCCTTGCTTTGCATCCAGGACTGTGTGGCCTGGTTCTTCCCAGCAATCACACTGGTGTTCTTCACATGGCCACTTTCAAAACTCACTCCTTGGACTGTGTCTGAAACCAGGCCTGTCGCCACAGATCTGAGGGTGTTTTTAAAAATGTGTTTCATTCTGCACACACGGGCCATATGGACACCATCCAAACAAAGCATGGCTTTTCTAAAAGGGATACATGTATTCTTGGATAATAGCCCCATCAGCTCTGTGATAACAAGAGTCAGTGTGTGCAGTGAATGATAAATGCTGGGAAGTGGACGCCTAGGAGGCAGGTTCGCCAGTGTGTTTCCGATCCCCAGTAATGATAATGCCAGCCACCTCCACAGAGGGATGGGAGGGCTACCCAAAAAATCTGTAAAATACGGTGAAAACGGAATCATGCTGACACAAGAACAGTCTGGTGAGCTTGACAGTTGTTTTAATTTGCTTTGCATGGTTCATTTGTGAGTATTAGGAAGCATGCAAAGTCAAAACGGGCCACTTCTCCCGTTTGTGACATCTCATCTGCTCCCCTTCTCCCAGGCTTTATTTCTGCCATCAGCTCTGCTTGTTTGTAAATGCTTCCCGGGACTGGGCACCATGGCTTACACTTGAATTACAAATCCCAGCACCCTGGGAGGCTGAGACAGAAGCATTGCTTGAGCCCAAGCATTCAAGACAAACCTGGGCAACATAGTGAGACCTCATCTCTACTAAAATCAAAAAATTAAGTCCTAGTTACTCTGGAAGCTGAGATAGAAGGATTACCTGAGTCCAGGAGGTCGAGGCTGTGGTGAGCCATGACTGTGCCACTGCATTCCAGACCTGGACTCAAAGGGAAAAAAAAAAATGCTCTCTACACATTATTGCATGTCTGCAGTGCCAGCAAATGCCCTGCAAAGGAAAGGGCTCTATGTCCTTATTTATTGTCTGTTGATATGTACCCAGTTCTTCAGATAACCTGTAAACTTTCCAGACGATAACTTAAAAATGGACTTCTTCCAGGTAAAGCTGCTACTACCTCCGGGCACCAGTGGTGGCAAAGAAGGCCCATGCATCTTGAATGGCAGCCCAGAGCAGGATGACGAGGGACTGGCTGGCACAGGAGGACAGCAGTCAGGTACTCCTCAGTGGCAGTTGTCAAGAGAGGCCGTTTGGTGTTTTGGGTTGCTTGGGCATTTGCTTTAAGTCCTTGCCCACCAGAACATCTATTAGGAATTCACCAACACCACTGAACTTATCCTACAACAGCCAGTGTTATTTTTGAATCAGCTGACTTGTATGAATGAACAGATTTCCAGGCTGCTCAGTTTAACTTGGAAGCTATTCTTCAAATATTGATCAAATGAGCCAGGCACAGTGGCTCATGACTCTAATCCCAGTCCTTTGGGAGGCCAGGGCAGGAGGATTGGTTGAGTCCAGGAGTTTGAGACCAGCCTGGGCAACAAAAACAAGACCCCATCTCTACATAAAATA